TCTTGCCCCAACTTACCTCTCTGAGCTTCTGCATCCTTACTCGCCCCCCAGGTCTCTCAGGTCAGCTGACAAGCTGCTCCTGCAGGTACCAAGAGGAAGCTCAGAGGGGGCGGGGCCTTCTCTGCCCCTCACCGTCCACCTTTAAAACACATTATGACACAGTCTGACCCTGATTTTACTGTTTTAAATGTAATTCTCATCATTTTTATGCTATTTTATTATTGTTTTTGCTATTTGTGCTAATTTTATTATTTTAAATGTCATTTTAATTTTTTTTATTATTAGTTTTCTTCTTTAACATGTTCAGTGTAGCATGTCTGGCATGTCAAGTGTTCAGCACTTGTGTTCAGCTGGGGGCTGATATATAAATAAACTGCTTGCTTAATGCTGTGAATACTTTCAGAATAAAAGCACTCAGAGTACACGGAGGTGCATCCACATTTCGTGCTCTTATTTTTGAGTCCTTAACTTAGTTAGAAACTGCACTCGGATCAGCGTGAACCTGCTCCTGACCCGCTCTCTCTGTGTTCAGGTGTACTGGAACTCCCTGTCCAGGACGTACTGGGTCCACTGGCACATGGTGGAGATCCTGGGCAGTGGCAGCAGCAGTCAGGCCGAGAAGGAGACGCAGGAGAAGGCCTCCTCGCTGACGGAGACGCTCAAACTCTCAGCAGGTAAGAGCCGAGCACCGTCCGCTGCTCCTCTCCTGCGCAGTCTGAGCACGCCTCTTCTTCTCTCAGTGAGCCAGACCTTCTTCTCGAAGCCTCCCGGCGGTCTCTACTCGCTGCCCTACCTGTCCGAGGGTCTGAACACGGAGCCGGTCACCCTGAGCAGAGCCGAGTGGTGGGAGATCCTCTTCTTCATCAAGAAACTGGAGCCGAAGCAGCAGCAGGAGGTCAACGGCGTCCTGCTGCAGAGCCTCGACGACCAGGTAGGAGACCCCCTCGTCTTTGAGGTTTAAGGTCAGAGCGCGGGGAGGCGGATTGTTGCGGTGATCTGACCGCCAGCTGCCTGTGACGTCAGACGTAAATCACCTCATGTGCTTTGATAAGAGTCGAAAATAAAAATCAGTCTGCAGAGTTTATCGCAGCGACGTGAGCGAGGGCGCCTCCCAGTGACATGGTATAAATAACCTGAGTCTGAGGGCGGGGCGGCGGCCTGGCTCGTCTGCGGCGAGCGGTGAAACGTGATCCGGGTTTGTGTTTGAAAAGCCTGATCGTCACCACGTCTGTCCTCAGGAGGCGGAGCTGGACGACTCGTCTCTCATCGGCCTGTCGGTGCCCGGAGACGTGGCCAAGAAGCTGCTGCACTACCTGAAGCAGAAGCTGCCGTCGTCGTGCCTCGGCGACCTGCTGTGCTCCCACGCCTTCGCCAAACATTACCTGAAGAGAGGCGGAGCCAGCCTAGAGGACGAAGAGCTGCTGGGTAAGAAAACAAACTCGCCTCTCGTAAGCGCGTCCTCGACACTCCCTCGTCTCACCGTGCTCGTTTGTGCGTCTCTGCAGCTGAAAGCTCGTCCGGGCTGGGTGGCGGCGGCGGAGGAGGGCAGGGCTTCTCGTCTGCCTCGACCGCCGCGTCCTCGGCGATGGGCTCCGTCTCCAAAAAGGCCAAGAAAGAGCTTCCTGTGGATTCTGGCTGCTGCAGCTCGGAGACGGAGAGCGACCTGCCCACAGAGGACGTCAGCAAATACCCCGACGACCTGGAGGACAAGATGAAAGGTGGGGGCGGGGCCTGTTCCAGACTCAGGTATCGGAGCGAGCTGTCGCTCACCTGTGTTCTCTTCCTGCAGTGTTCAACAACCCACGGGTGCAAGGCAAGAAGACCGTGCTGGAGAAGCTGGGGGAGGTGGTGGACGTCCTGAAGAAGGGCGGGGCGGGCTCAGACCACGCCCAGCAGCTCGCCGCCGTCCTCTTCCTCACCCGGCTGGTGGAGGGGGCGCAGGAGAAGAACGCCACGAGGAGCGACTCGGCCCAGACTGTACGGTGAGACAAACGGTCGTCCCGATGTTAACCTTCACGTATGTGGGCGGAGTCTCGTCACAAACGCGGTCAGATTTATTTCTTTGTGGCGTTACCGTAAAAACTGCTGCGCTGGCGGGCGCCGGTTGTCATAGTGTTTGGCAGGAAGTGACGGCGTGTTTTTCTCATAGGGACAAAGTGCTGAAGCTGCTGGTGGAGCTGCTCGGCTCCGCCTCCAAAGACGTGGTCGTCAGCACGCTCCGATTGACCCACCTCCTCATGCTCAAGTACGAGTGGAGGGTCTCCTTCGCCACCGAGGGCGGGGTCAAAGCCATCCTGTCCTGCATGCAGGAGTTCTCGGGCGCGGTGCACGTGCAGCAGCTGGCGCTGGCGGTGAGAAAACTGTTCATTGCTCGCCGCTTTGCTGTGAAATGATTCCTGACTGGCTCCTCCCCCTCTCAGACTCTGAAGGTCATCACGGGCGCCAGCAAACACGACCTGCGCAGCGTAGGCAGCAGCCCGCCGCTCTCCGAGTCAGGCACCCAGATGATGCTGGAGATCTTTGCCAGCATCGGCTCGGCCACGCCCGAGGGCTCCAGAGGCCTGCTGGACGCCATTCCGGCCGCCATCGACCTCATGCTGACCACAAAAGGGTGAGTGCGTTTTGGGTCAGTACAGTTAACGCCGTGTGCTCGCCGCGCTGACGCCGCCTTCTCTGTGCAGCTGCGTGCCGTCGGTGAGGAACGGGCTCCTCGTCATCATCATGCTCATCTCCAACCACAAGAGCCTCGCGGAGCAGCTGGTCGCCTGCGACGTCACCGGCGTCCTGAAGAAGTGTCTGAGTCTGTCCCGCGCCGAGACCATGCTCGCCATCATTGCGCTCAACCACATCTCCATGGTGCACAAGCTGGAGAGCAAAGGTACTCACGCTTCGATCCCTCGCCAAAGTCATTCAGACTTGTGCTCGTTTTAACTCGCTCGCTAACCTCGCAGAGAGCCGCGAGCAGCTCGACTTCAAGGACACGGAGCTGCAGATGCTGGTCGTCAGCCTGAAGGAGATGACGGCCACCAAGGAGGTCATCCAGACGCTGGAGCAGCTGCTGTGTGACGACGCCTCGCAGCTGGAGGAGGAGCGCAGCCAGGTGATGCGACGCACGCGTGAGCGCACGTGAGCGCACGTGCACGCGCTGCAGGCGTGTTTCTAACCCCGCGTCTCGTCTTCGTGCAGGTGACTCACAGTCGGGACACCTACCAGGACCTGGTCCGTCTGATTGAGCAGCACCGAGGCGATCGGGCCGTCCAGCTGTCCATCCTCAGGTATGCTGACCTTTGACCCTGCTCACCTTGATGATGATTGATCAAACTGCTGTGTTCAGGTGCTGGTAAAGGGGTGTGCCCTCCCACCGCCGCCACACGTTTATAGCTCAGTCGCGCTGTGCTGCTTCTTCCTGAGTGGATGTTTATGTTTAATATTGATGAGGATGCTCTTCTCTGATTGGCTCTTTGCGCTCCGCAGGATCCTGAACAAGTTCCTGGACAACTACCAGGAGGACGTGCTGCCGTGGCACGAGAGCATCGAGCCCTGCCTGTCCTCCATGACGGCCTTCATCAACGACAGAGAGGTCAGCCAGCGCCGAGCGCGCTCAGGTAACGCTGCCAACACCCGCTAACCTCCCGCTTCCTCCCGCAGGTGGTGCAGCTCTTCATCCGCTTCCTGTACCGGCTGGCGTCTCTGAACAAAGACTACGCCGTGGTCATGTGCCGCCTGGGGACCAAGGAGGCGCTGGTGAAGGCGCTGGACAAGCACAGCACCAACCTGCTGCTGGTCACCGAGCTCCGAGACCTCATCACCGACTGCGAGAAGTACGCCAGCCTCTACAAGAAGATGACCACCAGCGTCCTCGCGGGATGCATCCAGGTACACGGGGGTGGGGCTTCTGTCGCCTGAGACGACCGCTCGGTTGAAAGCAAACGTAAAGCAACGTCTTCCCGTTTCCTGTCAGATGGTGCTGGGGCAGATCGAGGAGCACCGCCGCAGCCACCAGCCAATCAACATTCCCTTCTTCGACGTGTTTCTCAGGAATCTGTGCCAAGGTCGGTTAATCGTTTCACCGCAAAACAAAAGATTAGTGAACGTCCAATCCTGGTCGAGTGTTAGCTTAGCTCGCGCATGGCTGATGTCTCAGTAACCAATGAGCATGCAGTGTGACAGTCAGAGCCGCCCCCTCAGGGTTCACCATAGGGAACAGATGTGACAGATGTGTTATTGTTGGTGCAGAGTTAAATCCAGCCTCACAGTCACAGGTGGAGGATGGCATCAGGTGGAGGATGGCATCAGGTGGAGGATGGCATCAGGTGGCGTTTCCTCACAGGCGGCGCTCTGGTTTCACAGCTCGCTGAGCGCCGTGAGCAGAGCCGCTTCACGCTGCCTTCCCGTGCTGGTTTTCTACCTTAGCTCTGCAGTGGGAGGGGCTGCTGGCGCACTGGGGGCGGTGTTTCTAACTGTCTGTGCTGCGTTCAGGGTCCAGCGTGGAGCTGAAGGAGGACAAATGCTGGGAGAAGGTGGAGGTGTCGTCCAATCACCATCGAGCGAACAAGCTGACCGACAAGAACCCGAAGACCTACTGGGAGTCCAACGGCTGCACCGGCTCGCACTTCATCAACATCTTCATGCACAGGGGCGTCATCATCAGGTAGGCGGGGCCCCAGCTCCTCGCTGTCTCCTCCCGCCGCTCGGGTAACGCTGACACTTGACAGTCTGTGTCTCCGCTCAGGCAACTCGCCATCCTGGTGGCCAGCGAGGACTCGAGCTACATGCCGGCCCGGATTCTGGTCCTGGGGGGAGACGAGCCCACCAACATCAACACGGAGCTCAACACGGTGAGTGCGAGTCTCCGTGCAACTCGTGCTGCGCTCGCTCCGAGCGTTCCCTCACCCGTCTCGTCTGCGTCTCCGCAGGTGAACGTGCCGCCGTCGGCCAGCCGCGTGGTTCTGCTGGAGAACATGACCCGGTTTTGGCCCATCGTCCAGATCAGGGTCAAGCGGTGCCAGCAGGTCAGACCGCGTTCACGTCAGCTTCCTTCAGCTTCCCGTCCTCTCGCTGACCCCTCCCTCTCTGTCACAGGGCGGCATCGACACCCGCGTCCACGGCTTCGAGGTCCTCGGGCCGAAGCCGACGTTCTGGCCCGTTTTCAAGGAGCAGCTGTGCTGCCGGACCTACCTGTTCTACAGCACCAAGGCCCACACCTGGTGTCAGGAGGTGATGGAGGACAAGACGCAGCTGCTGCAGCTCTTCAACAAGTATGAATACTGCACGCAGAG